CCAGCAACCTGAAACAGTCAAAGTACACAATAATCCCATCCCGGAACAGTGATTAGAATTGATTAGATGGCTTTTGCCAAACTTATCTGTGGACTCTTGTCCCCTACTCAAGAACCTTTTGGCTCATTCATGCGTTACCTAAGATCAAAGGAGAATCAAGATTTCTAACCCACTACACCCACCTATTAATCATTCGTGCGACGAATATTTTTTGGAGTTCTTACAATGTTTCCGGAGTAGTGCTGGGCCCTGGCGCCCCTCAGCGCCACTGTGGTGGAGCTTCCAGGTCAGAGCAGGAGACACAGTAGGAAGCACCATCCTGCAGAGAGGTCTTTGGTGCAGTTGGGTTGTAGCTCAGCGAGAGGTAGCTCTGCATGCTCTCTGCAGGCTGTTCAGCGTATTTCTCTCTAGACATGGACTGCCCATCCCACCGCACAATGGCCATTCATCCGTGTTGAAAAGTAAGGTGTCTTTTTCCTTTCCACTTTAGAGAGGAAATTCAAATACTTACCAGCAAGTGTCAAGAACTGGAAGAAATTAAGAAAGAAGAGAAAGATGATCCCATGGAAATTACTCATGAGGTACAGCATGGTGGTTGTATTTTTTTTAATCGCCTGTTTAGGTGTGGTGGGACTTTCAGCTAATACAGGATTATTTTCATACTCAGAGTTTTCCCTGACTATAACATTGACAATCCAGTTTTCTTTTATAACTTAAATCATATATATTCAAGTCTAGACTTCTGGATTCCTTGATTGTCAGTGGGTTGGCTTCTCACATTAGTATTCACGTCTTAGATAGTTGAGCTGGTGAATGAAGATCTTCCCCAATCCTAAAATATGCAGAAAGTTTAGTCATGCAACAGTGCTTGTCTACTGAGAAGGGGAGGAGTTTGCAAAGGCCCTGGAGGGGAAGAAGTGCATACTTAATGAGGCTCTCCTGCACCCAGCCCGGAGGTACATTTTCTCCAGAATATGAAACTGACGATGAAAGGTTTGAAGGGCACTGCTCTCTGGGCAGGGGCAGGTCCTCTCCTGCAGCCTGCCTGCCTGTCACTGAACTTCGCAGTGTTTAGTGTTCAGTGACTGGTGAGGACCTCAGAGGCAGGGCAGAGGTAACTCTCAGCAGACACACCTTCCTTGTCCTCTCCATTTCCTCCGTTTGTGTGGATGCCACAAAGAGGCAGCTGCAGCAGAGGCAGGGTCTTTTTGGCTGTGAGGGTCCCCTGGCTCTTCCCTGTGTCCCTGGAGGGGTGAAGGAAGCAGCCCCCTGGTTCCCATTTGCCCAGTGCTACCTGCACTTGCACTGCTATTGGCTAGAAAGCACCTTCTCACTAGTTCTTTTTTTTCTAATAAATGGATTCTTCAGATGGTAGGTGTAATCTGATATCCATTCAAACAAAGAATAAGTAACTTAGGTGTTAAAACCCTGTGACTGCAGTTTGCTCCAAGATGAGACTGTCATGTAAATGTATAATAGATGAAACCTATTTAGTCTGGGAAAGTCCAAAACAGAGCACATGTTAGAGATGGGTAGAGAGCTTATCACAGTAGCCTCTTTGCAATCCCTTTATGACCTGAGTTGTACCTGGGGAATCTACTACAGTGATAGATCTTTACCTTGGCAACAGTGTAGCCATGAAGCTCTGTTGTTTCAGAAATGACTTACTGTTTCAGTAACAGATGATCTAATGGGGATTATCATTGGCCTCAAAGAAAATGGGGGCTTAGCAAGGCTGCAGGACTGAGTTTTCTGCTAATAATTGAAAAGTTTTTGTTTGTTTGTTTGCTTGTTTTGTTTTAAATATGGACTGGACTTCCTCTTCTAAGGCTAGTTTCCTTAGCTGGCTTCTTAATTTTAAGGCCTCTTCTTTTAGCACATGAGGCTATGTGTTCTTCAACACTAGCACAAGAAAAAGAAGAAAACTAAAAGTTAGGGAATTTGGAAAAGCTGATTAGCACATTTTTAGTTGCAAATTGAGACAAACCACAGCACTGCCAGTTAGGCAAAAAAAAAAAACCCCAAAAACCAACTATGTGTTTTCACGGTGCACGCTAACTGGGTCCCGCACAGGTCGCACAGGGACCTTGATCCTGACACACCCTGCTGACCAGTGTGAGGGTTGAACAGTGTGAGTCCATCTCAATCCCTTTTTTGCTCAGTAAAGTATATTTTTTGTGCTATCTCTGTGGTAGTTTTTCCAGCACTATGGATAATGTTCTAAGTGACACAGAATCACTGTTCCATTGTCCAGGGAATTAGCTGTAAGACCAGCCCCAAAGCACAAATCTTACTTGATGGGAAGGCTCATCTCGCAAAGACCAGGAGGCAGAGATCGA